AAAGAGCTCACACACCTCAACAAATGGCAAATAAGCCACATAAAAAATGGGCAGAGGAGCTGAATAGATAGTTCTCCAAAGAAGAAATTCAGATGGCCAACAGGCACATGAAAAGATGCTACACATAGCTAATCATCAGAGAAATGCAAATTAAAACCACAATGAGATACCACCTCACACCAGTTAGGATGGCCAACATCCAAAAGACAAACAACAAATGTTGGCAAGGATGTGGGAAAAAAGGGAACCCTCCTACACTGCTGGTGGAAATGTAAATTAGTTCAACCATTGTGGAAGGCAGTATGAAGGTTCCTCAAAAAACTTAAAAATAGAAATACCATTTGACCCAGGAATTCCACCTGTAGGAATTTACCCTAAGAATGCAGCAGCCCAATTTGAAAAAGACAGATACACCCCTATGTTTATCCCAGCACTATTTACAATAGCCATGAAATGGAAGCACCCTAAGTGTCCATCAGTAGATGAATGGATAAAGAAGATGTGGGACATATACACAATGGAGTATTATTCAGCCATAAGAAGAAAACAAATCCTACCATTTCCCACAACATGGATGGAGCTGGAGGCTATTATGCTCAGTGAAATAAGCCAGGTGGAGAAAGACAAGCACCAAATGATTTCACTCCTCTGTGGAGTGTAACAACGAAGCAAAACTGAAGGAACAAAACAGCAGCAGACTCTCAGAACCCAAGAATGGGCTAATAATTACCAAAGGGAAAGGGAGTGGGGAGGATGGGTGGGAAGGGAGGGATAAGGGGGAAAAGGGAGCATTATGATTATTATGTGGGAGGAGGGCACGGGGATTGCAGTATAACAGAGAAGACAAGTAGTGATTCTGTAGCATCTTACTACACTGATGGACAGTGACTGTAATGGGGTATGGTGGTGGGGACTTGATAATAGGGGAGTCTAGTAACCATAATGTTGCTCATGTGATTGTATGTTAATGATATCAAAAAAAGATAGCTATGTGCAAATTTTTGGCTACACGGAGTCTGCTCCCCTAACCCTTGTGTTGTTCAGGGGCCAGCTGTACATATTTCAGAAACAGGAAGGCCATGTAGGTGGGTCCAGTTCTAATCCATCCCCGCTGCGTCCTGTTTGCCTATTCTGTTCCATGTTTGTGTCTCTTCTAGAGTAAGAACCTGGCTCCCAGCATGGCATGTTGACTCAGGCTGTTACTGTATTCAGTTTAGTTTCAGAATTGCATTGCCTGTAGCACAACAACAAATACTAAGAGTGCAAGATGTGTTTGTGGGCACCCCCATCAGCAAGGTTATCTTGAATTTGTGGCATAGTTGGGTTTCTTTCTTTCATTTTATTTTGTTTTTATGTTTCCTCTATCTTTTCTAAGTTGATTTGAGCTTATATTTTGAATATGTAGAATTCTAATGTGCTTCATAAAAAATGTATGCTGGTTCATGTGTCCCCATACACCTTTATGGTTTATAAATTCAAAAACAATAATTTTTGTCTTGATTTTATAACATTTCTGTTACAAAAGTATTATCTTACTTTACAGATATTCCTAAAATACTCAGTAGTGTTCCTGATGCTAAAAGAAATCTATTTCAGGAAATGTTAAATATGTTTCTAACAAAGAAAGGCCAGAGTTAAGAGTTTCCACTTTTTATGTAGACTAGAGATTTTTTTTTTTTTACCTATTCCTTTTGTTTTTCTATATAAAGTTGGCTTCTGGGTTACAGAGAGTACTGTAAGAGGGCCGTGATGAGAAATGTCCCTGAGTGACATTTTTGTGACTTGTACATTTCTCCCTATGATTCCTATGTATAATTTATTGGAATGAGGCAACCAATAGCACTTGTTTTGTCTTATTTTTTTGGAAAAAAGAATGGCTTTAAAAAAAAATACAGCTAAAAATTGCCCCATCAGCAATAAAAGCAATTACAAATGGCTAAGTCAAGTGGTTTTCAAACTTTGTTGATCATGTATCTCCAAGAAAGCAAAATTAAAAACTACTCCTTTATACATTCAGTGGACATAGAAAATTTTTTGTTAGAAATTTAGATGTTGGTGAGTATGGAATCTATCATATTTAAATACTTTTTCTTAATGCATCCCTTGAAATTTAAATACCATTACAATTTATATGCACTATTTACATTGAAAAATAAATGGCCAATGCTTGGTATTTTCTGAGTTTGTAATATTTGCCAATCTATTGGATATATAGTGCTTTTTCATTATGGTTTACACTTGTATTTTTCATTGCTTAAGTAGCTTTATCATCTTTTCATGAATTTTTTTACCTTTTTGTCTCCTCTATAAAAGTGCTTGTTTTCATTTTTTTTTTCCATTGCATTGTCTTTTTTTTTTTTTTTTTTGGTAGGTGTTCTTTAGATATTCTGCATCGTAACAGTTAGCAGTTGTATTAAAAATGTTTTCCTAATAGCTTGCCTCTTTTTATTGTCTGATTGCTTTTACACTATAGCAGCAAAGTTGAATAGTTGGGACAGATATTTATGGTTTATAAGCCTAAAAATTTTTATCCTCTGACCTCTAAGAAAAAGTTTACCAATTCCCTCTTTATATATATTGCCCTATTACCTACAGTGATCTAAAAAATTTAAAAACAGCAAAAATTTTTAAACTACCTTTACTGTAATCTAGGGAGTTATAGCCTAACCATTCTCTCATTGAAAACTTGAAAAAAGTGTGGGCTGTGTCCTCTGATGTCGGAATCACTCAGCCTCCACGAAGGCCTGAGGGTCTCAAGCAGATACGTGTGTATGCAGTCAGGGCGTGTCCTACATTGTCCCGTCAACCAGAGTAAGTTGTTACTTGGAAAAAAATGTTTATTAAAGGAATACAGTAACATTGTAAAATAATACCAAAGGAATTTTAGAAACAGTATCTTGAAGATCATAGTGTCAGAAGTTTAGGACTGGGGTTGATAGCAGGGTTATCATGGTGTTAATTTATTAGCAAGGAAGCCATGCTCTAAGAAGTTGGTAGCTGTGCCTGAGCCCATGTTGCCTGTTACGTTAACTGTGACACTAAGGTGTTTCATGGGAAAGATAATAGAACATGGTGGTTCAAGAGTTGAGACAGAGCTCAGTGCCTCTAGTTAGGTGAGTATCTGGGCTGCCAGCTGACACTCTGTGCCCCAGTTTGCTGATTTGGACAGCTGGTGGATTAACACCTGTGCGGCCCAGGAGGAGGAACGAGATCATATTATGTGTAAGGTGTTCAGCAGGTATCTTGCACAAATAATTGTTAGCTATATAAACTTCCCTAACATTTTCTTGAGATTTCTGTCAAGGTTTTTCTGGTAGTAAGGAAAGTTCAATGTGGATATTCAGCTCTGCTCTTATAATATGTCCGGTTTTCAACATTTTGGAAAACACTATTATGTTTTCAAATGCTGAGACATATTTTCTAAAACATCACTGAGTCAACTTACCATTTTCTTTACCATAGCCATAACTTTACATAGATCTTTCTATTATTAAACTTCAGGTTTCTGCTGTGCTTTGTTCACACCCCCTTCTCATAATGTGCACATTCAAGAGTCTTCAGGGCACATTGTTTAAGGTTTGCTCTCTTTGACAGCGTGTTCACTTTATGGATGTATGTGACTGTTCCAACTCTAGTTTTGGGGAGAGAAGAGGCATGCAGTCAGATGGATGTCATTCAGGCATTATCCTGACCCACCAGTTTAGTAACCCTTCCTTAGAGTGGGAGAGTGCTTTCGTGAGGAAGCCCACATTGCAGTGTGCTGGGTGCATCTTGGGTTTACCTCTGGGGGCTTTGTAGTTGCAGCTGCTGTTCTCATTGCTCTCAGGATAATATGTTAATAGTTCTTGACTGGGAACATGTTAACTGCGGCGCACACACATATGGGCACACACACACCACAGCTTGAGATGTGAACAGCAGTCCCACCCAGGGAAGTGTTGTGTTGTCCCAAATTCCAGTTGTGCTCCCCTTGAGAAATACTGTTGGGTAACGAGGAGGATTATATAGACAAGGTCTGTGGTGTAAATATCTGTATCTACAGCTGCACATGATCCAGAGAACCCTTCATTTGTTGGTTCTTTCTTAGAAACATTAACAAAAAAGCAATCAAAGTGGCCATGGAAGAGACTGGGAAAACCCTGAGTCTGATCTAACTTCAGCCCTGCCTGCGCTGCGGCCGGGTCTCCATGGCACACCGTGCGACCCAGCTGGGCCGGCTCGTCGGTCTATGTGAATGTCTTCTTCCTGTTCCTTAGAACAGTGTGGGATGCATAGACCTAGGGGCAGGCGCCCTTCGTGCCTACAGCAATGACCGGCTTTGGCCTCTGGCTGTCGCATGTTTTATCATTGATTTTTCAGAAGATAAGATGACATAATTAGTGAAATAAGGCAAACAGAAAGACATTCTGTGTGGTATCTGTTGTAAGTGGAATCTTTCTTTAAAAGGTTAAACTAGAAACAGTACAAAAGTGGTTGCCAGGGACTGGGTGGGCGGAGGGGAAATAGGAGTGGTTGATCGGAGGGTACCAACTTGCAGCAATGGGATGAATTACATCTGAGGATCTAATGTGAAACATGGTGACTGTAGACAAATAGCTGCGATTTGCTAAGAGTAGATGTACATGTTCCTACACCCAAAAAGACGAAATGTGAGGCAGTGGGTGTGTGGGGTGAGATGGGGAATCCTTTCACAGTGTGGTGTCTTGTCAGCTCAGCATGACACATGCCTTAAATATCTTAGAGTACATCATACCAGATTTAACATTTTTGTTTATGAAAACCTCAGTCTGTGCTTTTTTGCCACTCAGTAAAACACCTGGGTTAAAAATAAGAAATAAGGTTAAGTTGCCACTCATGTTTTCATTAATAGTCTAATGGTTTAAAATTTTTATGCAGTTGAGGCTTTGAAAATAATAAGTCAACTACTTTCATTTTGAATACTTTAAAAACTCTAGTGATGTATAATTTATGTACGTATTCACCCTTTAATGTGGTTGTAGGTTCATGTGAAATGGATTTTGGACACTGATGTTTTCAATGAATGGATGAATGAGGAGGATTATGAGGTGGATGAGAACAGGAAGCCCGTGAGTTTTCGTCCGCGAATTTCAACAAAGAACGAAGAGGTATTTGGATTGGCAATATTTTTCTCTGGTTGGTGTTTCTTCATTCTTGGCCTGAATGTTATCAAATCTTCACCATCCCATATAAACAAAGGTGCATCAGCCATCAGGTATATATAAAAAATACTGAATGACCATAACCACCATCCCTGGAGCTGACACCCCAAAAGAGGGGGCATGAAAATCTCAAAGGGTCATAAAGATCTAAAGTTGCCTGTGCAGTGTAGCAGTGGTATAGCTGATACTCTCTAGGTCTGAGTTTCAATTTTGTGAACCAGATGTTATCACAGAGTAGTTTAACATAGCTGTTGGGTTTCCAAGGGAAACTGATTTTAATACTTTTTAATAGCTTTGTTAATGTACGTACAGTAGTTGGTACAAAGAATAGGCCTTACGGTCTCAGAGTTATATAGTTCAGTCATCTTTGGATGTGGGTGGGCTTGACAATATTCTTTGTTCTCTTAAGAAGCCCTTGCACCTAAATACTCATCCATGATTCCTTGGATTTGTCCACGACCCACTAGAGGAAGAGCCAAGCCTGAGAAGGTGGCTTAGGTGTGCTTAGGATTGAGTTGATGGCAGTGTTGTTAGGTGGAGACCTGTGACTCTGAAGTCCTTTCAAATGGGAGCACTTAGAATTTTTGGTTTTTGTTTTATGTTTGAGTTTTTTGAAAAAACCTTTGAGACAGATACACTTAACTATTAATGTAGAAAAAATAGTTATTTCATACCTGTTTTCAGCCTTGAAACTTTCTTACTAAAACTGTCACACTGTATGTATATTCTTGATTTTTAAGAAAAATAATTTAACAATGTGTCTTTTTCATATTCTTTCATTTTTAGTTTGTCCTAATTTGCTTTGGAATTTTGCTTTTTAGGATCCAGTGTAAGTGAAGTCTATGGTATTTGTCTTTCTGTCTGAGTTAATGTCACTGAGCGTAATACCCTTCAGGTCCAGCCATGTTTTCACAGATGGCAAGGTTTCCTTTTTTATGGCGGAATAATATTCCATTGTGTATGTATACCACATCTTCTTTATCCATTCAACTATCGAAGGGCATTTAGGTTGCTTCCATAGCTGGGCTCTTGTAAATACTGCAGTAAACATGGGGGTGCATGTATCTTTTTAGATTGGTGATTTCTGTTTTCTTCTGGTAAATTCCCAGAAGTGAAATTGTCAGGCCATATGGTATCTCTATTTTTAGTTTTTTTGGGAAATCTCCATACTGCTTTCCTTAGTGGCTGCACAAGTTTGCATTCAACGGCAGTGTATGAAAGGTCCCCGTTTCTCCACATCCTTGCCAACACTTACTACTTCTTGTCTCTTGGGTAGTGGCCATTCTGACTGGTGTGCAGGGATGTCTCACTGTGGCTTTGATTTGTATTTCCCTGAGGATTAGTGATGTGGAGCCCCTTTTCATGTGCTTGTTGACCGTCTATATGTCTATATGTTGAATATACATTTGGAGAAATGTATATTCAGGTCCTCTACCCATTTTTAAACAGGATTATTAATTATCTTTTTGGTGTTGAGTTGTGAGTTATTATATATTTTGTATATGAGCCCTTCTGGGATGTGTCACGTGAAGCTCTCTTCTCCCATTCAGTAGGCTGTCTTTTCATTTTGTTGATGGTGTCCTTTGCTGTGCAGAAGCTTTTTAGTTGGATGTTGTCCTACTTGTTTATTTTTGCTTTTGTTCCCTTTGCTTGGAGAAACAAATACAGAAATAAGTTGCTAATGCTGATGTTCAAGAGTGTACTGCATCTGTTTTCTTTAGGAGTTTTATGGCTTCAGGTCTTACATTTATGTCTGTAGTCCATTTCCGATTTTGTGTGGTATAAGATGGTGACCCATTTTTATTCTCTTGCACGTGGCAGTCCAGTTTTCCCAACACCAAGCTGTTGAAGAAGCTGCCTTTTCCCAAGTATATATGCATGGCTCCTTTATCATATTTTAACTGACCATGTATGCGTGGATTTATATCTGGGCACTCTGTTCTGTTCCATTGATCTGCGGGTTTGTTCTTGTCTCAGTACCACACTGTTTTGATCATTGTAGCTTTGTGGTGAAGCTTGAAATCAGGGAGAATGATACCCCCAGCTTGTGCTTTCTCAAGATTGCTTTGCCTATTTCAGGGTCTTCGCTGGTTCCATACAAGTTTTAGGATTATTTGCTTTAGTTCTATGAAAAGTGTCACTGATATTTTGATGGGCATTGCATTGGATCTGTAGGTTGATTTGGACAGGATGGACACCATTGAAAGGAAACTGGCATTTGGTCGTAGTGGGTGGGTGGCACCAGGAAGGTTAATGTTTATCGAGATTTTAGCCTCTGGTTTTTTTGCGCCTTAGATACAATATTGGGGACCATTCCAGGTGTTTCGTCTTTACTCTGGTCCACTTCATCAAGCTGGTGCTTGTCCTGCCAAGGCTGGCTTTGCACGTTGATGTGTACCCCGTACCTGCTGAGCTCCCTGACTGACTCTTGTGGCTTTGTGTGGGTTCCTGGGTGTCACCTGTACATAAGGTCCTGTTATCAGCACATGGGGTACTTTTACTTTCATAGGTTGACTTTCCAATTATAAATTGCAATCTTATTTAGCATCTTTTGTGTCATAAAGTTTTCATGTATTCTTTTTACTGATGAATTAGTAGTGGTTTCTAGTAATTTTTCACAAGGTCACCCAGTCAGTCTTTGTATTTCATTAATTTAATAGCATGTGTTTAATGTTTTTTCAGTAGTTGCTGGTAATGCTTTTCAAAACTACCTGGGCACACAGACTGAGCAGGAACAGCTCCCAGTCCTGCAGGTGTTGGGCCTCTGCCCGTAGCCTGGCCTGAGGACCTGTGACAGCTGTGCTGTTGCTGTTGGTGGTGTGTCACCTGGTAGGCCAGTAAGGGACTCTTCACCACTCTTGATTCAGGGTGCTTAAGGGTTGCCCTCCATTCACCCTGATCTCATTTGGGACAGAGTGGGTTTTGTACTCTGTGGACGGGGTTCATAGGAACTGCGGAGTCAGCAGAGCTGCAGACATTCATGTCCACTTATTCCTTCCTAGCCAGTCAGAAGTCCAGAAAGGAGGGAGAGAAAAGCGTCTGCTAATGCTCGAAAGAGGAAACATTCACCTTCGCCTCCGCCGCCCATGCCTGCCGAGTCCCGGAAGAAGAGTGGGAAGAAAGGGTAAGGACCCCAGCATGACTTAAAAGGCATTGGAACCAAGCCCGGTGGACTTTACCGATTTACATTCACAGTTTTGCTGAAAGGAGGCCTTACTTGGCAGGCTTGTCTGTCTTCGCTTCAATAACTTGTCTCATTATGGAACATTATCTGATGGGCATTTTATGTTGTGTTTATACAGAGACACCCTGAATATGGTCTTTTTTCTGTGTCTCAGTATAGATGCAGAAGCATGGCTGGTAAGGAGTTTAGGGAATTGCATTTAATGTAGTTTCTCTTTCATTTTCCCACATCTTCCACTGGTGGTCAGAGTGATTCAGAAGAGGCAACTGCTCGTGCTCCGCAAAGAGCAGCGGCAGGCGCCTTGCTCGGTTCAGCTCACGTGCGCTCAGTGAGTCTCCCTTGAGTGGGGATTCTGGTTTCTTTTTGAACAGGTGGTTGTAGTGGTTGAGACTTGAAAGCCTGGCCTAAAGCAAATACTTACTAATTGGTAGATAAACACTCAATAATTTATTATTATATGTTAAGTAGATACTTAATTATTTTGGGGTTGTCCAGCTCAAAATATTTTTGATATGATTCACAAAAGTATAATTTAGTCTTAGAAAATGATGGTGCAAAATTTGTTCTGTTCATGTGTTGAATTTCTGCTTGCTGACTGCACTCTATAAAGGTCCACTTAGCATCTTCTGCCTCTCAGCCTTCCTTTACTGATCTTCCTCTCTAGCCACATTTGTATTTTTGTATCCAGAGCATGACTTGAATCCTGTTATTTCTTGAAGGTGGCATTACGTGAAGCTTTCTTTCTTTCCCATGCATCAAAGCTTTTAGAGATGGTAACTCTTAGCTTTATAAGTAATAGTGAAGCAGTCCCTGTCATAAAAGGTTTTGATATTTTGTCAAGTCACATGTAACCTAACAATTAAAACCTGAACAACAGACTTCTCATAGGTATTATCGAGGGTAACCTTTTTTCTTAAATTTCTCATCTGACTGTTGATGCTCAGTGCTTTCAGAGCCCCTGGCATCCTGGTGCAGAAAGCTTAGCAGCCTCTCCAGGTGCACCCGGGCCTCGGGTGAAAAGGCTGCCCCTCCCACTTGAGGTCTGAGGTGCGCCCGTGGCCACGGTGCCCAGATGTGGGGTCCAGGAGGCTCTGGTGATGGCGTTTAGTCCCTGCTCTGAGTGTAAAACCCAGTAATTCAGTTCCCCAAAGTAAATGTGTACACATCCTTGAAGTGCACATGTCTTATCTCCAGTGAGCTGGCTTTTGCTCATTTTAAGTTTCCCCTTAGGGCCCTCTGATCAAAACATACCTCAGTTGTTTTATTAATATTTGTTTTATTCATCTTCCTACATCTTTTCTTCCTCCTTAAGGTATTTTCTCTCTCTGCCCACTTCAGGTTTACAGACGTTAAAACATTTTGTCATGTGATTTTTATTAAAATTCTTTTTACCAAACTTTCCTACCTTATTCTAAGCTCTACCAGTGTGTCATCCCTTGGAAGAGAACCCTGAGCACTGTCTCGGCAGTGGAGGGTCGGGCTGGCCACCTGCGTCCCGTCAGCACTGCTCCCATTCCCACCCCCTTGTCTGGGTCTAGGTCACGGCCTGTTGCTTCCCAAAACAAGTTATTTTTCCTTAGGTTTTACTCATCACCCTGACACATTGCCTATTTTAGTGAATTGTTATGGTTCCCAAGGTCCAGTGTAACTATCACCTTCAGTTCTGATTCTCGGGGCTGTATTTTCTTGGTACTTGTGTTTGTTTCTCTGTATTGGTACACATTATATTTATTACAGGAGTTAGGTAACAATTTCTATCCTGTATCCCGTGTAATTCCTCAAGGAATCAATTCCATTCTTGTTTGAACTCAAGCATGTTTGAACATGCTTTCTGGCATATACTTTAAAAATAGATGTTGATTTGATTGAGTTGATGGTGAAAGAGCAATGCCAGTTTTTTATTTTAAAAAATTAGTATCATCCCAGGTGATTTTACTTTGTAGTCTTGTACATGTCTCTGAGAGAACTTACATGATCATTGATGATCTGAGATAAAATTGCCATATTTCAGTGGTAGGTGTTCTTTTATTAAGTTGTTTTAATCAACATACCTTTTAGGGTATTGCCTATAGTTTGTATTGTACAATTTATGTGTCCCATTCTAGTGCCTAGTTATTTTCCTTTTGCCTAGTTAACATGTAATTTGGGGAACATATCTAATTTTTTCATTTCTATTTTTCTTTTAAAGTTTTTTTGAGCATACATACTAATAACAATGAGGGTAACGACTCTGAATTTATTTCCTATAAGTAGCTATAGTAGTCTTACTTATATTTATATACTCATGTGTTTTAGCCAAGCCAATCTTTATGGGAAGCGCAGAAGTCAGAAAGAGGAAGATGAGCAAGAAGATCTTACCAAGGACATGGAGGACCCCACACCTGTACCCAACATAGAGGAAGTGGTGCTCCCAAAAAATGGTTTGTATTCCTGTGCCTAGAGTGTAGGAGCACTAACTAAGATGCTCATCGCAGCGGTGCCATGGTATCATTCACCTCTTGTTCTGTGTCGCCACTCAGCTTTCACACGTGAATAGATTCCCCCGATTAAGGTTAGCATTAATGAAATTCCCTCTTTCCCAATCTTGTTGTTTTTGCTATTATTGAGAAAATACACCATGACAAAACACTTCTCTAAATTTAGTAATATTTTGTAGTAATAATTTTCCTAGGAGAAACAATACCTATAGAAAAAGTGGAACACTTCCATTATGTACAGTTAACCTATTTCAGTCAGTTATGGGAGAAGGATGCTAGAGGCTTGTGCTGGTGATTGAGTATTTGCCTGTTTTCCCCCTTATTCCTGTTACATTTCTGTCTCCTTGCATTTTCTTTGCATACTTTGAAGCTCTGCTGTTGAAGGGCACGTCTCAGGGCACTGTCGTGTGCCCCTGATGAAGTATCTTTGGGTCTGACTCTCAGCTGCCGCCACAGTGCTTGTGTTGAAGCCTGAGCTCCGATAACAGTAGAGCCCCTTCTTACCACACCCTTCCTTTTATTTCTCTTTCACTCTTCATTATCCCCAAGACATTAGTACAGCAGTGTTACAAATTACAGTCCTTTTTTCAACTTCTCTCTTTTTCATTCTTTTACACTTTTCCCTAGTTATGTAAAGCATGTTGCTTGTACACACCATGTTGTTAAAGGTTGACGTCCCCCCTCCCAATATACATTTTATGCTTTTAACTGGAGTCCATAGTCCATTGTGAATATGGGTGGCCTTAGTCCTGTTTTCCCCCCCTCTTCCTGTTCCCACTGCTCTTTTCTTTTAGAACTTAGATGGTTTTTTATAGCACAATTTTAACTGAGATATACTTCACACAGCAAAACATTTACCTTTTTAAAATGTATTTTAATCGCTGCAGTGGTTTTTTGTGTATTTGCTCTGTTGTGCAATCACCACCACTGTCTTAAATCCAGAGTGTCTCCATCCCCCCGAAAGGAAGTCACATTCTTACCGAGGGTTAGTCCCCATTATCCCCTTTCCCCCATGTCCTGGCAGCCACTCTTCTGCTTGGTGTGGATCTTCCCATTCTGTTTGCTTTCAAGCTGTTTGTTTCTTACTGGTTGCTTTAGGGCTTACAATATATATCCTTAATTTATCAAATCTGTTTTGAATCACTCCTACCTAATTAAGATAAAAATGTATGAAATTAACCATAGTAAAGGTTGATATATTCCCTGTCCTATCTTTCATATATTTTGCTTTCACATGTATTATAATCCCCACAATATCTTTTGTTCTTTTTTAAGCGGTCAGTTTTATTTTTAATAATTGAAATAAAGAGAAATAGGCTCGTCTGTAATGTTACACATGCGGCAGTAGAAACCACACAAATGTATTTTAAAGGTCATATAGAAGAGAAAATTCACAGAAGTAACCAAAATACTTATTTTAAATAATAGAGCTGTGATGGTGGTGAGAGTCTTAATGGATATCTAACTAAGCTATAAAGCTGTAATACCTAGTATGTTATCATTTAGACATAGGAGTGGCTGACTCTGTCAGTTCAATAGAAGAGTCAGTTCAAATATAGACACTTGTTTTGTTTATAAATCTGATTTGTGAATTTGGCAATGCAAATTATTGGGGAAAGATCAGCCTGTCTCACAAATACTTCTAGGAAAATACAGTACCCTTCTTTGTATCATACATAAGAATTTAAACTAGGTGGATTAAAGCGCTAAATAAAAAAAAAAACTCAGTCAACTTCCAAATGCTAATGCACTTTAAACAAATGTTAGCCTTTGGAAAAATATTTGTTTCTCGCCTACAAAGAATTAGAACCCAAAATATAAGAGTCCATCTTAATGCATGAAGATAAGATAGATAAGATAAAAGTGCTGATTACAGGATAGTGAAAATTTAAAAATAAACTAAGTTTCCATTGATATAAGGCTAGTTACCTTGTGATCCACCCAGGACACCATGGATCTATTAACAGTGAAAGAGATGTTTACATGGGAAGATCTCACAGGCACTGTTACAGACCGGTAGAATGTTTACAGTGTGGATAGCATGTAAGATAAAAAACCCTCAGATACATGTTCATGTCCATATAGATGTGTGAAAGGTATCAATTCTCCCTTGGTCTGCCCATTTAATGAATGGCATAAAATGGAATCAACAGCGCTGTGGGAAAGGGGTTGGAAGGTTCTTTGCAGGTTGTGCTGTACATGTTTCTTTGTTTTATGGTGGAAAAATACTGGTGCTTGGGTGATTCATCACTAAATATCTGTGATAAAGTGTTGCTGTTTCTTAGCTGGTATGTGGTCTTTACGTGAGGCCACTGAAAGAAACGGGGGTTGCAGAGAGATTTGTGTATTATGTGATTGTCTCTTGTTCTGTTTTCTTAAAAACAAATAGAACTTTTCTCCTATAACAATTTTTTTTTTTTCTAGTGAATCCAAAGAAAGATAGTGAAAATACACCTGTTAAAGGAGGAACTGTAGCAGATCTAGGTAAAAACCAAAAACCTATGCAACTTCTGTGGTGTTGTCTGTCTCAAATATATGGCCTCTTTACTGAGAAAAATGCAGCTCCCTTTTGCCATGCTCTGCAGCACAGCTGAGCCCCCACGCACCTGCTCCCGCGTGGTCGGGTTTGCTCGCCTCAGCAGGGCTGATTTCCTGCGATCTTTTCTTACTGATTTGCCCCTCACAGAGCACAGTGTTTCCCTGCACACTAGCAACCGTGGTGATATTATACCAGAATCAGGTTCACTGATTGTAAAGAAATCATTGTAATTAAAGCACTTCTTAAAATCTCTCTGAAGTATTAATTTCACATATGCAAATTGATTTTGCATCTTCAGAACAAAAATCTGTTCACTATTAATACTTTGTAAATCAACCATAAGTTTTCTAAATGGTATAAAATGAGTCACATCATCTTCTCATAGTATTCCCAGTTTCAGGGTACATTTTCACAAGGATAAGTCTTGGATATGTTAGGGTAGAAAGAGAAGTGTAGTCAAGTGTAGTTCAGGGTTTTAAAAACTGGTAGTTTTAAACATCTTTGTTTCTGAGAGTTACATATGGAGTAATGATCTCAGTTACTTTTTTCACTTAGAAAAATCACAAGAGAACCTAGTGTTTTCAGTGTATGCCAAATTTTTGATTTGACAGAGTTTCAGACTTGAAGGGATTTTATATGGAAAATGAGACTTCGTTTTTTCTGTCTTCTAGATACATGCATTCTGTATTTCATATAAATCACAGTCATTCTTGATGGCAGATACTAGTGGGTGTTTGCAAGAGTTTTTCTGCTTCATTTCACTAAATGCATCCTGCTTTTCCTGACTTAACGCCTGTCATTGAACATCCGTGGACAGTTCTATTTTGGGTTATGTTGGAACTAGAAGCAGAAACTTGTCTTGAGGACAGTTTATATAAATGGATGGTATTAGGTCAACAGAATAAACGAAAATAAGAGGTGCTGTCAAAACATCATTTCTATCTTAATTTTTTTTAACATTGTTAGTCGAGTGTAGATTTCCATTCCCATAGGTTTATACTGCCCATGCTACAGCCGGACTTGGCCCCACTGCATCCAAGGCCAGGAAAGGAAAGGTCAGTACAGGCGCTCTCTTCTCCATTCCCAGGACTGCACAGGCTGAGAGCGCTGGGCTTGGTGCTCTTCACTGGGGCAGCCTGTTAAACTGAACGGCAGTTTCTGCTTTTTAAGTATGCATCTTGAGAAGGACTCCATCAATCTGTAGTTTTAAGGGAGTGGACAGTTTTTCTTTTAAAAGTGAAGTAACAGTATTTTTGCAATAAGCTTTATCAGAGGAGTCCAGTAGAAGCCAGTTTTAAGAAAAGGGTAGTGGTTCCTACTAGATTTGAAAATTTGTAGTGCTGGGTATGAATTCTTCGTTTTGTGTCTGTGACTGGCATGTGGTCTAAGTCCAGGAGTGTTGTAGCTGAAGGTGGTGCTGACCTGAGGAAGTGCTAGGGTCTGAGGAATTTGTAACTTACCCTGGCCTTTCACCCAGGGACCAGCAAGCTTCCAGTGCATCATTTAAGAATCTGGCTTTCTGCATTAGCTCTAGCCTGAACCATGCCAGAGTAATGGATCCATCAGCTGGAATTCCTGTCCATGGTGGTGTTTTTTTTAACTGATCCATATTCTGCCTTATATGACACTTGGCTGAATACACCCAGTCCTTTCTCCTTTCTTGAGATCTCTAACTAAAGTCAAGATCTAGGAGCTGAGGTGGGCGTGCGTTTGCCTACGTCTGGAAGGAGGAAGAGAACCTTACTGGGTATTGCTGTCCAGGAGCCAGTAGCAAAGGTGTCTGTCGCTTCAGTATTGTCAGAGGCCTACTTCCATTGGGTACCACCATTACCTAGGGGCCCAGACTCTGCCAAGCTAAAATTCACTTGTACAGTTTAGCCAGAGAGAGATCAGTAAGTTGTACCAACACCGTATGTGAGTGGTTTTCCTTCGGTTTACCAAGATCCAAAGGACACAGAGTTCGTTTTTGACAGCTCTACCTAAGAGTCTCTCGGTCAGTCGCTTTTTAGAAAAAACGGTGCCTGTGCACAGCTGGGGGACTTGTGTTGCTGGGACCAGGCTCACCAGGCCCTGAATCCCATGTCCCTTGTAGTAGGTGTTTGTCTCTTCTTTACAAATCAACCATCTCTGTGTTGCATGGTCCCTACCAGGTATCATTCTACAGATGTCTCCAGTTCACCGTAAACCCTGTTAGCCCAGTTTTACTGATGAGGAAATGGAGGCTGGAGGGGTTCAGTACCCCATCCACACACGTGGCTGTCATGTGGCATAGCACACGGTCAGGTCCAAGGCTGTCTAACCACCACAGTAGTGCCTGTGTCATCGCTGTGGCTGCTCCCTGCTCTTGGCCACTGTTTGTGCTCATGGCGGCCATTTAGATCTGTGAAGTTGTTGAGTGCATCTCCACCTGAGCCCTTGAAGTGGCCACTCCCTCTTCATGACTTGCCTGCTTCGTCCTTCTTACGTTTCACTAAGTATCACCTTTCCAGAGAGGCTTCCCTCTTTTGGCCATCCAGTCTCTCTCTAAAATATATTACTTCTGTTTTCAGTCTCTATAAAGCAATTTTTACATCTAATGTCTATTTCTCTTCCATCTCCTGCCACTCTTAACTGGAATGTAAACTCCAGGAAGATGAACCTTTTCTTGTTCATCATTGTGTCCTTGGCATTTGGACAGCGGCTGGCACACACAGTAGCACTGTATAAAATTTAGTTGACTGAATATTACCCTTATTACCTATAAAATATTGATCCTCTTCTTATGTCCTCTAAAGTAGGGGTTGGCAGGCTTTTTCTGAAAAGGCCAGATAGTAGGTGAGGGGCTGTGGGCCTGGTCTCTGTCACAGGTGGTGAGCTTCACCGTTGCTGTGAGGGTGCAGCCACAGACAGCATGTGCGTGAGGGCCCCCGCTGGCCCCTCTCTCCACTGTGGATGTATATACCTAAGTATACGTGGCTTTATTCCTATTCTTTCCCAAGGCCAGCCTGTCTTCAGAAGGAATTAATAACACTCTTACCAGGACTCTCTGCAGGGGTTGACTTTCACCTCTTTCTTCATTTATTTCCTCTGGGATCCAAAATATCATCACTCTGTTGCCCCAGCCTTCCTGAGGCAGGAGGGTCACAGCACGACTGACACCGTTGCCCGGCAGTAATTCATTAGAAATACCAGTTTCTGCTGTGTACGATTCTAATTGACAGAATTATTGGAGGTGTATTTGCTTTAATAATGCTCTGTTTCTTTCCTATTCCCTGTCCAGTATCAGCTACCGAAACCTTAATGTTTCCAGGTAACCTAAACAGTGTTACCCGTTTTTCATACACATTATGTTTTGCTTTTGCAGATGAGCAGGATGAAGAAACAGTCACAACAGGAGGAAAGGTAACACTTGATTAATCCTGGTGCAAGAAGGGACCCCAAGGGTCCTGTGGCTGGAGCAGTAGGAACACTGAGTTGGAAATGCCTCTAGAAGTACTCATTTTTGAGGTTCTTCTGATATTTCATTTCCTTAACACACCCCCAAAGTAATTTTCCTTTATTGACCCAGAATTTTATCAAAAGGAAATTTGTACCTCCCTACGTAATGCCGCTCCCATACTCTGGCCCCTTGTTGCAGGTAGCAGTCAGAGCTGACCGTATGGTCAGCACGCAAGTGAGCAGGGACAGTGCCTTCCACACCCATTTTTGTAGGGCCTGGCTGCCCGCAGCCTTACAGTCAGTACTTCCTAGTTCATCAGTTCTGCTGTGGACAAATGAGAGTAACTATGCAGTTGGAAGGCCTTGGGTTTGAGGCAGGGTTTTGCTTATCTTTTCAGTGTGTGGCCCATTGTTCATTCAGACTGCAATGTTTGTATTACCAGTAAGTGTAACTAATCCCTAACCTTGAAATAACTCCCTAGTATGCTCAAAATGAATAGTTCTTTTTCATTGTCAAATTCCCCAAATTGACATTTATCATTGTTTTTTATACATTCAGGCAGTAGACATATTCATGACAGGATTTCCAGGAAAAGTTATTTCAAGAAACTTCTACATATGTATCTTCAACTGAATTGTCTTTGTGATGTTTTTCTTTAAAGCAGAATATCTTTTGTCAACGAACTACTTACAAACATTAAGGAATATTACATATGTAAAAAGATGTTACCATGCAGAATAAGCAGTACTGCCTGGTGGTAGGAGACCAAAGGAGAAAGCCAAAGAGGTGCCTGTAAGACTTCTTTTTATACCAGGGGCAGGAGGAACCTTGAAACCACAGGGAATTGTATCACAGAGCTCCAGCCCAATGTGGCTGGGTGTGGCCAGGCTGACTCTCGGCTTCCTCACAGAGAACTCAGCTGCAGATGTGACCCTTCACTAGCTGCAATGCCAGTCCCTCCCTGGTTTCCTGAATAAAGGAAATTGTTTTGTGATTCTATGGAATTTTTAAAATCTGTATCTCAAAAATGCATTAATCATGAGCATATTTTTTGCTGCCTTCCTTGATTTGGGAAATAAAACTCCTCAGTTTTGCCATCAGTATTAACATGCCTGTTTTAATGTCATTTAAGTAACAGCCAGAGTTAGCTTAGTGCTTTTCACATGTTAAATTTTTCCTGTATTCATTCCATCTTAAGGCAACTACTGTCCTAGTTTCTAGGCACTAGGTCCTCACCTCAAATAGTAAATCAAAGGAAATTTAGGTTGAATTAAGTGAAAGGTAGAAATTCAACTATGGGACCATTATAAAAGAAAGCAATTAAAAATATAACTGGTGTCTTAATAGAAAAGCATTTCATAAGATTAAAACACCACAGATGATAAATTGATAGATTTAACTGTACAAAACTAGAAAACATCTGAATGTAGAGAAAAATATTTTCTGTCATATTCTTGATAAAAATATTTATTCTGAAATTAATTAAGAAGAATAGAGCAGATAAATACAGATTGTTGGATATTGTACAAGTTGTCTGGTCTGGATTCTTTAAAAATTTTAATGTCATAAAATACCCCCAAAAAGGAAACCAAGAATTAAAGGAAACTAAAGATTCATGAATATTGTGTATAATGTGGAATCCTTGCTCAGGTTCTGGACTGGGGAGAAAAATACATGAAGGACATTTCTGGGTCACTTGGATTCATTTGAATATAAACTGTGTATTAAACAGTGTTATTTAAAAGTAATTATAACTACTTTTTAACTGGTAGCATAAGAAATGTGCTTGTGTTTTAACCCAGAGCAGTGATTTTGAAATTATTTATTTTTATTAACCAAAGCAGGTTTTCAGGAGGACTCCTTTGAAAAAATCTAATAAGACTCAGTGCTGATTTTTAGTAGTGGGAGTGATTAAGAATGTAGGCTCTCCTCTGGACTTTGTGGAGTTACACCCTGTTTATAACTGAATCTGCATTTTCTCATCCACAAGAAGTTATAATGCCTTCTGCTAATACTGTGAGGAAGAAATGAGATAATGTGCATGTAGCTGTTCACAGACACTTAGGATCAGTCTTTAGGGAGGGGACACCTTGTCGTAGTGCCCTGGAATTGCTTCCTTATAAATAACTTAGGTTTCAACTTTAGGATTAGGTTAAACTTGGACAAGTAAGAAATGAGCTATTGTGGGAAAGTTGGGGGCCTCCTCTAAGTTGTTTCCCTCATCTGTAAAAGGGGGAGAGAAAGTCTGCCATGTCATGTGGGTATCTTGTGACGAAAGCACCTTGCAAACCGTGAAAGACTGTTTTCCCTTAAAAAGTGTGTTTTCCTGGTCCTTGCAGTCGGGTCATCCAGCCTCACTTTTGTGAGCCATACCGGAAGTCGGAAAGCTGTCACTTATCTCTGTCATTCTGCCTTTCTCCCAACTTTGGCCCCTTTTTTTATAGGAAGATGAAGATCCCAGCAAAGGGGATCAGAGCCGCTCAGTTGATGCTGGTGAAGATAATGTGACAGAACAGACCAATCACATCATCATTCCCAGCTATGCGTCATGGTTTGATTATAACTGGTGAGTGGGCCGCTCACATCCATGTACACGGTGCCTGGGCCGGGGGTGCTGTGCCCTGAAACCATACCGCACCATTCTGCCCAAACCCCTGGCAGACTGAGATGGAGAGTGACTTCATTTTAGCTTTGGAATGTGTTACTTAAAACACTGTAGGACAGACACTACATCATGTTGTAACTTAGGATCATAAGATTTTGTAAGCCTGAGTGAACCTGGCTCATTTGGGATCAGCTGATGATTTCAGGTAAGCAAATCCACGAGTATTTAGTAATTATAAAATATTGATGTTCATTATTTGATTTTGAAAGCATTAAAGAAGTATATTTTTAAAACTCATCTCATTACCTAGTAATGGCTTAATTTTAATAGGAAGCATTTTAACATTAGGTTCCTTCTCCTGTGTAAACACTGGCATGCAAAAAAGTTCAGAGAGCACCTCCTCAGCATCTGCCCCATCACTCACCTCAACCCCAGTGGCATCACTGGAGCATTGTTGGAAATAACTGGTGTCCTACATGCCTTACATATTGGTAACTTAAGAGGCGTGACTGTTTCATATTCAGACTGATTTTTGTTTGTCTGTTTTTTATTTTTAACTGTATGTGCCAGAGCTTGCCCCTCCACGTAGATGTTAGCTCCTGTAAGGCACTCCCACTGAGAGTTCAGGTACTTCCTTCAGTGATGCTCCCCTTACTCAGAATCTTGTGGTCCTGTTTGCATCTCTTTTCTGCTCTCAACAGTCATTACACTATCATTCTTTAAGGGTAGGTGGGTTGTAAAATACCTAGAGGTCTCTTGAGGCCAGTGTAGAAGAAGAGGGTGGATGGTGCAGTTGAGCCATACTTCCTATCCAAACCGTGACGTATGGCTCTAATTTTGAGGTTTTCTGTAAGCTTTTGAACCCAACCCTGGATGCTGCTCCTTAAAAGTGTGAGTGAGTAGAAGCTGCGACAGGAAAGGGTCCGACACAGTTGGTTCACTGGGTCACATGTTTGCAGGCCCGTTCTCATTACGCTTGTTATTGCATTGTGATTTTTAAATTTGGAAGCATCTCAGTCTTGTCATTATTAATTGTAATTACATGTTAATATTCAGAATGGCTTAAGACACACTTGAGAAACTGGCATTCTTTCCCTCTAAAATTAGGGAAGGGGAAAGTCCTAATTATCATTTTGTAGGTTTTACAGGTTACAGAAACTTTCACTTGCACCATAACCTTTGCATGTTGCAAAGTGTGCTGTGGGGGTTAGTTACATCCCTGTTTTATAGGCAACTGCTGCTTCAGTTCGAGGGTTCCAAAGTTGCAGATTTGATATGAAGGACTAGTGTTTTCTGAGCCCCAATATCCCACTCCCTCCACTGCTAGACTCATTGTCAGAACCTAAGGAATCAGCCGCCAGTACTTTAAACAGAGATGTTGAAAGTGGTTGGATTAACAAACATTCTTGTGTGCTCTTGGTGAATATAGAAATTGGTGGGGGGATGTTGAGCTCTTCCTAACCTGTAACAGTTAAAACAACGCGAGGTATATTCGAACCATATAATTAATTGTTAGTAGCTGTTCTTTTTAAAGTAAAACTCGGTCAGGTCATACACATATTGACATAGCATTAATTCATCTTAGATTTATCTTCCTGGAAACTTTCATGTAATTTGTATTTCTAGTATTAGGCAACAGATCCAGTTCAAACAATTTAAATATACCAAGTAGTGTGAGAGTGAGCGCTTTTTGCTGCATTCACAGAGGACCGCTTTGCTCTTTCCCGTGTAGCCAGTATGTGCTGCATATCTGAAGCCATTGAGGAACCAGAATGTGTCTTCAGGAAAAAGCATTGATTATGATCAGTGTCAGAGCCTTTGTACTCGATATACAGTTTGTTCATTGGATCAGATGTTAGGCCTGATCATTTTATATGCCCTTGACCATTTACATGCTTATCACCCATAACATTTTATAAAATTATTAGTGCCTTTATCTAAATATTAAAAATTAGTTATGTGGTCTTTATAAGGAGTAAATCACTGAAATCTTTTTCAAAATTGGATCTACCACAGTGTTTCCAAGGGCTGGACAAAAAGATGCATTGAAGGTTAGGAGCCTGAGAAACTGATGTTTGTATATTCTGTGGTCCTTGGGCAGCCATTAATTTCGCCCGCGTGCTGCTATGCCACCCACTCTCTCTGATAATTGTTGGCAAGTATCCAGAGAGCTCTTCCCGTCTGTGGATCATTGCGTAGTCATGATGATACATTATGACATGGGTGTAATAAAATGTATGCCTTGCAATGTGTTGATAGGATATTTTGAGTTTGGTTGTGGAAATAGAAAAGCCACCATAATAAATATTGGGGATGAGAAGCGAAAACTTTCTTTGACTTCATTATATGCTGTTGAGACATAGGAATTTGCAAAAGCCAGTTCATTTTTGCAAGTAGTGTTCAATTTCTGGATTTATCTGTTCTACTTTGAAAATTAAGGACAGCTCAGATTTTAAGGTCTTATTTTTCTAAGAGGACTTCCTCTTTTTCCTTTTCAGTATTCATGTGATTGAACGTCGTGCTCTTCCTGAGTTTTTCAATGGGAGAAACAAGTCCAAGACTCCAGAAATGTGAGTGTGTCACAAAGAAACCACGTGGTGCAGCTGCATGCTTCAGCAGGCTGTAGGGTGGGCGGCACCAGTGTGGCCGGGCACTCTTGGGGCACCGCTGCCTTATCTTCACCAGTGCACGAGTCTGCGACCATCTTACCCCAGTCAGAGTGGTGTTGTCCCCACTGCACAGAACCCCTTGCTCCAGAGGCAATTGTTGGTATTTGTTTCTTCCTCAGCAACGTTGACCTTCATGCCTGTCCGCTCTTACAGCTAAAGATTGCATTCATTAACAGATATTTACTTACTGAATGAGTCCCAGTTTCTTCCTTACAGTTCTCACCTATGTGTACATATGTGTTACAGATTACGTATGTGTAATAATCTAGGAGAAATGGAATCTTTACTTTGCTGATGAATGACTAGTAATTAAAAGAATGCCAAATATGATTACATGGCTGCATAAGAGTTGATATTGATTGCATAGAAGATTGTTTCTGGTTTTACATTGGAAATAAAAATCGTCAAAAATTATTTTTGCCTTTGCTGGTCACCCTCAAGTACACCTTCTGGAGATCCTCAACCCCAAAATAAATCCACACCAGTTGTACTATACATAGCTCTCCATGCATTATCATGAACAGTGTGACTCCGTTGTGTCTTAGGCATATGTTGACTGCACAAATGGATGTCTCTTGTTTAAATTGTTAGGGAAGAATAATTTTCCGCATAAAACCCATGTCATAATACAGATAACTAAATAATAAGTATTTTCTGGTGGGAGATTGCCCATGATAGTTATAAGATTTTAACTTTAGACATCAAAGATAATTCTAGTCTTTCCATAACAAAGCTGTAAGGAATCATTTAAAACCAGAGCCAAGAATTTGGCCTAAGAAACATTACTCATTTCCCTGGTAGTTTTTCCACCTAGTCAGACAGTGTGTTCTCCCACCTGGCTTGTCTGTTGCTAGCAGTTATAAATACTTATTTATCTTGGCAAGTCTTCTGCTTAAAAGCACAGTTGAGCATTTTAGCCCCTTTTAACTTTTTGAATTCACCTTCCAGGCTTTGTTTATCCAGCCTAGCAGACACAGACCCTTGAACAGTATGCCTTTCCTACTCCTGTACAGCTGTCCTCCAGCTGCCAGACTTTGGTTTTACTTTTGTGGCAAAAACTTCTGCTAGGCCTCTAGCCTCTCTACGGTCTTAAGTATCTTGTAGCAAAAATGCTCGGTACATTGTGGAATCTGTTGAAAAACAGAATCTCGTGTTTTTTTCTCCGTTTTTATATGTTCTTGTCTTACCTCTGAATTTGCTCTCGGGTTCTACTCATTGTGTGTGTCGACCTTAGGAATTTTCTATTGCTTTTTAGATACTTGGCATACCGAAATTTCATGATTGACACATATCGCCTAAACCCCCAGGAGTATTTAACCAGCACTGCTTGTCGCAGGAACCTGACTGGAGATGTGTGTGCTGTGATGAGGTAAGACGCCTCAGCTCTTCTCGGACGTTCACGGCGGGCTCTACTGGTGCGCTACTGCTCAGTGTTTGGTTCAGCTGGATGCTTTCTGGGTTAATAAGACATCTCTGTCTTGTGTCTTTGATTTAGGGGCTGATTGTTCTTTAATACCTTAACACTGTCTCCTCATTTTTCAAGTTATAGTTTACATCTTTTATCTTACAGTCAAGTCGTGAAATGACCAGGGATGGAAAACGGGTAGGGTAGGGAATAGATAAGCTCTGTGCCCTGAATCTGCCTGAAGAAACAAAGTACAGTGCGGGTCTCCTGTGGATTCGGTCTGTGTGTTCTTTCCGTGGACTTAAATGAGAATTCTCGTTTCTCTGAGAAGATGAGGCTCTATACCCGGTGTTGGGGTGCTGACCTAGCAACATCATCTTGAGTGTCCCTCATGCAACAAACCATAACTGACAGTTAACTTTGTGATGGTTCAGAGTTATAGAGAATATTTACTTCGTTTTGTTTCATTTTTTTAATGAAATGTGATGATTGTGATAGAGATGAGGTTCGTTCTCTAGTCTTTGACTTTCAGAGCTTTGTTCTTCAGGGTTCACGCCTTTTTAGAGCAGTGGGGGCTTGTCAATTACCAAGTGGATCCAGAAAGCCGACCAGTGGCCATGGGGCCGCCTCCTACCCCTCATTTCAACGTCTTAGCTGACACCCCCTCTGGGCTTGTGCCTCTGCATCTGCGGTCGCCTCAGGTAGGTATGCGTGCCTTTCCTTCAGTTCTGGGTGGTAACAGACTGTCACTTCCAGCACTGACGTTCAGGGAATGGTTTTATCATTTAATGGTGCTGTTTCTCAGTTGATAGGTGGTGTTTGTTTTTATGTGTGAGTCCATAGGAATATTTAGTGTTTTAGATAATGCTCCCCATTAAGTGCAGGACTGTATGCCTTCTATTTTAAGTTACAGATTTTTTTTCATACTCAAGACTGCCTTTCTCTGCCATCAAAGACACTAATAAAAAGGTGGTTTAAATCCGTTAAATGGTTTGAAACTCCTTTCCTTTCCTAGCATTTGGAAAGTGGACATCTGTGTACACATTATTGAAAAGATCATTGTGCCAATTAGATTATATATAGCATTGAGTTGGAATTACATGATATTTTGCTGTAAATTGCCCTCTGTTATGAAATGGAAGGTTGTATTGAAGAAAATTTGTTGTCTGTTTTTTCTGTAACTTACAAGAGGCAGAATAATGTTTCTTACAAAACACAATTTTATTAGAAGTGTAGTGGGGGATGTGTGGGTCTTTTTTCTTTGTATGATCTCCGTAGGTGCCAATATTAAACAGTTGTTTAAAAACTCTTATTCCCTTGAGTGTGTAGAGGTTAATGCAGCCGTTTCTTGTTTATCTGACTCGTAGGTCCCTGCTGCTCAGCAGATGTTAAATTTTCCTGAGAAGAACAAGGAAAAACCAATTGATATGCAGAACTTTGGCCTTCGTACTGACATTTACTCCAAGAAAACGTTAGCAAAGGTAAGAATTTTTTTTTCTAGACACACATGGTCTGCAATCCAGCATGTCTTCCTTGGCCTCTTCTAAGAAGTATCATTTTCCACAAGAAACTTAACTTACTTTCTATAGTGTAAGGAGGGGAGCTTTCTAATTAATCTGATGGCATTTTGTAAAACAACTGTTACTTAGCTTAGCGTTTATTCTGTATGGTTGGAAGGTAGGTATTTAAAAATAACTGTGAATAATATGTTTAAAAAAACAGGGGAAAGTGGGTGATTTCAATAGCATTGGAATATATGTTAAAAAGAAACAAATGAATATTGCATAATTGAAAAATATACCTGAATTGGATGGGTTTAACAGCAGGTTGGGCTCAACAGGAGACAGGGTTGTGAGTAAACTGAAATTGAAGCAGCAGGAGAGAAGGAAATTGGATGAGGGTGGAGGACTCAGGGCCCAGAATAGTGCGGGAGACATGAGGGCAGAGTGACAGGTGGAGGCCGGGCAGGGCGGGCGGTATCTCAGCTGACACCGCATAGCTAACAGTGCTCACAGATGAGAGACTGGACAGACCCAGAACTGGATCCAGAGAAAACCACATCCAGGCACATTATGCTCAAACCTATCTTAAAAACTGATCATAAAAGCAACCAGGGAGAGAGGGGGTGAGAGTGTGTTAGAGAAGGACATATTAAATTCAGAGAAACAATAAAGCTGATGTCTGATTTCTCAGCAGAAGTGATACAAGCCAGAGGACCGCATCATAACTTCTAAAAAAAAAAGTGTTTTTGTTGTAGCTTTGTGGAGATAAAGTTGACTTGTAATGGTGTGTAAGGCCAAGGTGTAAGACACAGTGGTTTGATATATGTGTGTATTACACAATGATTACCACAGTCCTTTACCTTACAGAATTAAAATTCCTGTGTGTGTGTGTTAAAAATAAAAATAACTTATTTTGAAATGCATCAAATTAAGATAAATGGATGGATATAGATGGACAGGTGCAGGTAAATCTTTGAAGAAGTTAGGTTCTTTATGTATTTTATTCCTGTTACTCAAGGGCTTATTTTGGTGGTTTACAGAAAACAGCCCCGTGTACTTCAAATGGAATTCTGCTTAGCTCCATGTTAAACCTCTAGGAATGAGTCAGTAACTTCTGGTTTTGTTTTTTTAGAGTAAAGGTGCTGGTGCTGGGAGAGAGTGGACTGAGCAGGAGACCCTTCTACTCCTGGAGGTGAGCAGGGTGATGGTGGTGCGCTCACCCACATAGGAGAGAGTGCTGTTTCTGTGACTGGCATTTTAAAGAATACCCTTTAGAAATTATCCTGGAAACTTTTTGATCCATGTAATTGAGTTTTAATAGAATTTTTTTGGACCTCTGTTACTTAAATGTTACACTTCAAAGTGATATGCTGGCTATCAGTTTTGGATCAGCTTAGGCCTAGATGTGTGTTGTTTTGGCCCAGGTTGGAGGATTTTTTGTTTTTTTTAATCTGTTGCCAACTTTTCAACAAATAGTGGAATCTTTCCAAAGTCTTCCAGATTTCTAACTTTTCCTCCACAATGGGAATACCTGGCAGTTCTGGGACCTCATTCCCTGTTAGCAATAATTGGCTGGCCTTGAATACCACATTTCTTTGAATCTTCACATTCTGGTTTTTCTTAACTTAGACCACCTTGGTCACCATAGAGCAATAGTTTCCTTTGTGCTTGTGTGTGTCTGGGTGCTCAGTCTCCTTATTTCAAAGGATTCCAGAGAAGTAGCAGAAATACCTGCCATGGAAAACAGTTTTGTTTCTGAAAGCCAAAAGCCTGCAGTAAGCCAATGACACATGCAAGATGCCTGTTCCCAGCTTGCTGAAAGCCTGTTTGGGTTTCCTCCTGTCTTTGGAGATACTTCGAAATATTTACATGGTAGATCTTAGCAATTATTTCTACTCTGAAGTGTAGGAAATAGAGAATATTGGGTTCCACATCTATCGACCATTTCTAAAAAAGGAACATTTGTCTTTAATTACAGAAAAGAATTGTTGGATTAAAATGAACACTACATGACACTTCTTAGTATTTATGGATAGAATGTGCATGTGGGAGCTGAGGTAGGACTTAAGAAGGCAGTTTATTGTTAAATTTGTTAGAAATGCTTTTACCTGCAAGGAACAGAAAATCTGACTAGCAGTAGATCAAACCAAAGAAATTCTTTTTTTTTTTTTTCCAAGTAGTTTCTTCAGATTAACAGTTCCAGGGCTCTTTCAGCTGCTCAGTTATGTCACCAGGTCCCTGGAGCTCTCCTGTTGCATTCTACCTTCTTTGCCGTCCACATTCTGTTCTGTTCTCTTCTGGTCACAGGAGGGCTACTTAGTTTTAGGCTCCATATTCCCATTCAAAACAGGAAGAAAGTTGGAAAAGGCACCTGAGGATTTTTCTGGGAAGGAAAAGCTTTCCCAGAACCCCTCGCCCCCCCATCGGTGTTTCCCTCCTTGATAAGAAAGGATCTTGTGACCACCTAGGATTAGATGTGGTACTGGGGTCACCTGGGAGAAGTTGACGATTGATGCTGGCAAATTACAGCATCTCCTTTACTTACAATATTCAGACTGCAGCATTAGAGCAGCGAGTTCACAGGGAGAGAGCCCCCTTTCCTGGAATGTCACATCTGATCCGAACTTGTGTGCCAGGTCTAAATTATGCAATTCAGAAATGAAGCATCAAATAGAAGATGAGACACGGCCAGCAGTTCTCAAATGTTTTGGTCTCTGGATACATGTTCCTAAAATTGAGGACCTCAAAGAGTTTTCATTTGTGAATTTATCAGTATTTTCTGTATTTAGAAATTAAAACTGAGAAAAATAATTTACTGAAAATGACAATAAGTGCATTCCAAGTCGACATAACATTTTTATGAAGAACAATTTGAAAAACAAGATATTAGTGAAACGTGTGGACATTATACATTTTAGCAAATTCCTGTAAGTTTGGCTTACTAGAATATAGCTGGATTTCCATATTGGCTTTTCTCTCAGATGTTGTTTTACTTTAAGTATATTAAGAAAATCGGCATCGCTTGGATATGTAGTTAGAATCTGAAGGAGTGTCTTAATGGCCTTTTCAGATAATTGTGGATATTCTTTAATAAAACTTGACCACTGGTAGTTTCTTACAAGTTACTTGCAGTGGAATTCATTGGTATCTCTCATACTTGTAATGGATCTTCTATCCGTGTGTGATTGTGTAACACCTTGCATTGGTAAGTTAGAAAATCCTGGCTTACTCAGTTATGCAGATCTTCTAAACGTTGGTACAGTTCATTACACAATATCTAGAAAATCTCGTTCGATAATATTACTACCATTCTCATCTCAGAAAGTCTTTTAAGTAGTAGACAGACCTCTGTGGCAGATAGCTATTTTTCGGGATTCTGGTTTTCATTTAGTCATTGGCAATGGTCACTATCAGTTTTCCTTGAAGTGACACTTCTGAAAGTCCTGGTTTCTTTTTGAGAGAATGTCTGCCAGGCCTGGCAGTGGCATGTGCCATAGTCCCCACTGCCCTTGGGGGTTGAGGCAAGAGGATTGCTTGAGCCCGGAATTCTGGGCTGCGGTGCGCTGTGCTTTCTGCACTGCGCTGGGCATCGGTATGGTGACCTCCCAGGAGCAGGGGGCCATCAGGTTGCCTAAGGAGGGGTGACCTAGCCTAGGTCAAAAGTCCTGTGCTGATGAGGAAGTGTCTGGCAGATACTACCTGTGTCTGCAAGGCACGGATGTGTGAGCCTTCATTCTGGTAGCCGTGGTATCCCGTGAACACAAGGGGCTCTGGCAGCTGCCAGCACAAGTAGCCCACATGTGCTTTTCCTGGGGCGCCCACCGTGCTCTGGCAGTCAGTGTGCAGAGTTCTTGTGTACCTCCCGCTGCCTGTCATCTGATACTAAAAACACATGTATTCAGAGGTTTACATTTAGTTAAATTGATTGTTTTTACTGTTTTGTCAAGGAAACGCTTAAGTAAAGGTGGCTTACTGTGTTTTTGTGAATTGTGGCCTTTAAGGGAAGAGTGACTCTCGGAATGACCCAGGGCCATGGCCTCGGTTCTTGCCTGGGGCCAGTGGTGCCCTGCTGCGGCGCCCTCGGTGCAGTGTCAGTGTGGTGGGCAGAGACGCAGGGCTCAGTGCTGGGAGCTGCTCTCGGCATCCAGCATCCAGGCCCCGTGGCTTCTAGACCGCAGCACACACCAGGCCTGGCAGCGCCTCACCTCTTGGTGGGGCTCTCGTTTGGTTTGTAAATTGTTCCAACAGTTGTGGCTACTTAAGCTTTTAGTGGTTTATTGACTTTTTTTTTTTTTTCTTCTTCACACCTCTCTCCTCCTTGTTTTCTCTTGCCAGTCTCTCTCTGGATCAAAATTTTAAAGCGTTTCTTCTTTTTTGAGTTTTTACGATTATTTTATTTCCTTCTGCCCACTCAATGTCAGTGATACTCAGCTTTTCTCTGAGCCACTTTTTCTTTGTTAGGACTGTTGAGTCTAAGCACACCTGTATCTGCAGAGGCTCGGGATGTGGAAGCTCAGCCCCCACAGGGGATCCAGTACTGCTAGCTTGGGCTCTGGAGGAAATGTCGTTGCATAACACCCACTGGAATGAGTCTTGATTCCATTTTTCCTTCCTGCATACTGATAACCAAAATTTCTCCTCTCCTGCATTTAAGATGAGTGGATAGTAAATACAGAGAGAGGTCAGAGCGGCTGAGCTGCCAGTCACCTGGAGCTTGTCCGGGAAAGCTGCCGCATCCGTACACAGTTGTGTGTTTGTTCCTCTGCAGCTGGAGCCTTGCGCTGCGTGATTTTTCTTTTAAGCCTGCAGTTGAATCCACAGGTGTTGTCTGTGTTTACACAGGAGGAAGTATAAATCTTCCCAACAGTGTTGTTTACCACTGACACCTTCTATTTATATAGTCTATTTATCGGTAATTAATGGCTTAAGAACATGAAGTCAGATGAAAAATTTTTATTGGATTTATAACCAAAACACTGTCAATTTCTTCCTAATAAATAGGTAAATCTGGAAGATTCATTGGGGTATTTTGTTCTCCCCCCAAGAAAAACCAATTTTATTAGGTATTTCACATAGGCAGCAGCCCACATATTTCAAAATATTCTTGACACCATCCACTTTTATTTTAAAAACACTTGGTTTGCTATAGTCTCTTACTAAAGCACGGCTCTTAAATGCAATGGCTCCAGGTTGCTATATCGTTAGTGTAAGAAGCCACAAAGGGCTAACTCAGTCCTTAGCATCCAAAGCTGCACTGATAGAATCAAGGGTGACAGAACGAAGAAAGGTGGCGCCATTCTACTCCACAGTGATTAAGGGGATTTTTTTTAAAGAAGCTTTTGCAATGTCCTTTTTAAGATCACAACTGGCTAGAGTAGTCATCCTGGCCATTTGTAAGTGTCCCTGTGCTTGACATTGGCAAACCATAGTTTCAGCTTTCTGATTCCCCCTTGTAAATGTTAGTGTTTCACATGCCTGCTTTTCCTTCTCATGTCTTGTTTTTATTTTCCCTTAGATAATTAGTGGACATAGATTCCTGTATCTGCAAATAAAATCCATGAGGGTTACTATTACTGTTTGTTTATCCCCAGAAGAGTTTTTCACATGTTTTTTTACTGACTGATTTGTGGAGACAGAAGTTGCTGGGTAGCAGCATAAGAAATTTTTCTCATGGTATGCATGCGCGGTATGCATGTACCTCTTGTTGTGCAGCCCAAGGAGTATTTTTCCTGGGTAAGTTTGAATTACACTTTAGGTACATATGTCTTTCAGTAAAAAAATACTTTTCTTAAGGAAAAAGCCTTTTTTTAGTATTTTTTAATATTTGGAGCCACAGAAAGTTAAATTTCTCTGCTGATTTCATCCATTTCCCTTTCATTAAATCCAGCAAATTTTATTGGGTCTGTGTTTCAGGTAGTGTGTCCAATACTGCACATTGAGGTGGCTGGGCCCCGGGTCTCTGCAGTGGAAGAGCTCATAGTCAGTGCATGCCAGAAACAGAGTAAAACAAAAAATGAGTGTAGTCATCAGCTTCACAATTGGAGGTGCTCCGGCTGTGCTCAGAGGAGCAGCCACAACATGTGGGCTGGTGGCGGGGGCATGACAGCTTCCTGGGGTGGGGTGGCTGCATTGTTTCCAGTGCATGGCAGTCCCAGGACAAGAAACCACTGGGAATAGGGCATGGCATCTGCGTATTCTTAAGAGTGGGGTGGAACAGGTAGCCAGACCCCCATCCTGCTTGCACTTAATTCCAGTAGGTAATTTTGAGCAGTGAAATAGGTTCAGGCGGGGGAGAGACTTGTATGTCTTGTGTGAAACACACTTCACTCTGGAAAAAGGAAGAAGGGTGAATTTAAGGATTAAAGGGGCAATTCTTACAATCCCAGCAAGTGATGGCAAGAAGAGTGAAGGTGTTTTGTACCTGCATGAAATGTCTACTTGGTAAGTTTTCTGCAGGCCAGCCTTGCTCCTCCTTGCCAGCCCGGCTGCCGCCCTGATTTGCTTAGAAGACTTGTCTTCTCCCTGCTCTTCGTGGAATGCTGCCATTGTTCCTGGCCCGGAGTGTCCCTGGGTGCTGACTCTTGATGCAGTTTGACTGTCAAAGGGTCCCTCCACTTTACTCTGGAAAAAGCCTTCCTGAACTGTCTTACTTGTTCTAACTGATGGAAAGTGAATAAAGGGAAAAGAGCATGTAAATAAGTTCATCTAAAAGCGCCATGGAGAGCATCCCAGGGGCGTCGCTACTCAGTCAGAAACTTGAGATGTATGTTTCTGGCCCCAAGGGTCCTAGTGAGGTAGACTGATTTTTCTTTTCTGTCACAATTGGGGTCTTTTTTCTAAGTAACTCCTTTTAGAAATAACTGAGGCCCGTGATTGTCTAGAGGAAACCCAAAATTAGCTTTGTTTTTCAAGGGGTTTAATGAGGGGGACCATTCGCTGGCTTGGTTTGTGGAATCCTCTGACACTCAAGCAAGGAGGGAAGCCTGGAGCAGTGGTTGGAGCCCAGGAATAAGAGTCACTGAGGCGTGTGGGCACAGGGCGGGCACCCCTCCTGGGGCACATGAGCAAACCAGTCCCAGCACAGGGGTTAACTTTGGGCCAAACGGTTCTTTTGTCTAGAGGGCTCCCATATGCACTGCAGACCATGTAGCAGTGTCCGTGGCCTCTGCCCGTGCCAGTAGCACGTCCCCAGCTGTGATACTCAGGTGTGTCTCCGGACACTGCCAGGGGTCCCCAACAAGGCAGAATTGCCCTGGTGGAGAATCACACAGCTCTGCAGAGAACCGTGTGATGGCAGCCAGTTGAGTAAGCCCCTGAACAGGTGTTTTTTACCCAGTGGCTTTCTTAGCACCACATAGTTCTCATTTTCTTCATTCCATTCTGTCCCTCTTCCTGTACTCTTTTTGGGGTAACTTCTCAGCATTTTCTCTGAAAAATAACAAATGTTAAAAGTAGAAATTTTTTATACTTTATATAGATTTTAGTAGCAGTTCCTTAATTTCTAACAAAAGCTTGTAGTTTGAATGGGATTATGTTGAATGTATAGTTCCCTGTGGAGAGAATTGAAGTCTTAACCACACTGAGACTGCTAATGAATGAGTGTAGTGCATGTCCTCCTTTATTTATGTCTTTAATTTCTCAGCAGGTTTTCAGCATATTGATCTTACATGTTCTTTTATTACATTTATTAGTGTTTCATTTTTGTGTTATTTAAAATTTTTTTCCAATTAAAAAGTTTTCATTGCTCATATATGCAGAAGTGTAATTGAGGTTTACTGTCACCTTTCTGTGTGACCTCGCGAAATGTTTAGATTTAGTACCTTCCTGTGGGTTCCTTAGGGTTTTCTCTTTAAACGGTTTATGTGTTCATAAGAGACACTTGTTCCTTTATAATCTACATGCCTTTGTTCATTTTTCTTGTCTGATTGAGAGTTTAACATAAGGAAAGCAATCACATCTACCTATTATGTATAGAATAACCATTTCCATTATTTAAAGAACAGTCCCAGGCTTCTGAGTACATTCCATATGACTTGTTACCAATTGAAGTTCCTGCTTTTTCCTGTTACAGGCTCTGGAGATGTACAAGGATGATTGGAACAAAGTGTCAGAACATGTTGGAAGTCGTACCCAGGATGAGTGCATCCTCCACTTTCTGAGGCTTCCCATCGAGGACCCATACCTTGAGAATTCAGACGCTTCCCTTGGACCCCTGGCTTACCAGCCTGTCCCCTTCAGTCAGTCAGGAAACCCAGTCATGAGCACTGTTGCTTTCCTGGCATCTGTGGTGGACCCTCGGGTGGCATCTGCTGCAGCAAAGGCGGCTTTAGGTATGGGCTTTCCCGAGCCACCCCGTGAGCACAGCAGTCTCACTTCACAGTCATTGCTTCCCTTCTTAGAGTGATGGCATAGCGGCGAACTCAAGTGTTACAAGCTGTTGCATTCATCTCAGTTACATAAATAAGTAACAGGCAGGTATTAACTCCTTAAAGGTAACCATGTCATGTAAAAGTATTATAGCATCTTAAAGTAAAGCACTTAAAATATAATAGTTTTTAAATTAAGGGTGTTTATTAAGAATTGGAGGGGCAAAGTGGAGTTTCTTATGGTATATTTAGTGATCCATTTGGAATTTGATATAACAGGGAAACGGAGTCATGTGACATTTCTTGAATTACATTATGATTAGAATGTTCTCACACCACAGAACTCAGGAATTTTTATTGTTACTGGTAGAAATTTAAAGATCTCTTTTATTTATATAACAAGATACTGTGGCATATAAGCTAAACATAGAGACATTTCACGACTGTACATGATTATCTCATTTGGCCTCATGTTTTGCTGGGATAGAAAAGACAGAGTCCCCAGGAAGGTCTCCACATGCGAGACACTAATGTGTTGGGTTTCCTGGTGGTTTTTGTTGAAGCAAATGTTTATTTGTGCAAAACCAGGCCTCTGTCCCGTTCTTACTCTTGCACAGAGGAGTTTTCTCGGGTCCGCGAGGAGGTTCCCTTGGAGTTGGTTGAAGCTCATGTGAAGAAGGTACAGGAAGCAGCAAGAGCCTCTGGCAAAGTGGACCCCACCTTCGGCCTGGAGAGCAGCTGCATCGCGGGCACAGGGCCTGACGAGCCCGAGCAGCCGGGTGAGGGTGCGCGGCCCCAGGCGCTGCCGCCGGGGGCAGGGTGCAGGGGGCTGCGCTCTCCCGCCCCCGTGCCAGGCGCTCGGGGCTGCTTCGCTCTTGGGATTGAGCACCAGTGGTGCTGGCCTGTCTTGTAAGATTAGAGCATGATTTTTTTCTCTCATCTCTTCCTTCATGGTAGATAGGATTTTAAAATGGTCTCATAACTCAACAGTTCACATGTGTTAAGGGCTCAATGCCTGTTTCTAGTCCAGGTTTTGAGCATGTAATCATACAAATACTGAAAGAGCCTTTGTGGGTATTTTAGTTAACTTGTTGCTAGATAGGTATGAATTCATTGCTGTTTGTTAGTTTTAAATTGAGGTAAAATACATAAAACATAAAGTCTCCGTTTTAACCACTTAGTGGTATATATAAAAACCAGTAGCTTCTGGTACATTCATGGTGTTACGCATCCTTCACCAATACCTAATTCCAGAGCATTCATTCCATCACCACAAAAGAAAATCCTTACCAGTTAGGCATTCATGTCCATGCCTTCCTCTCAGCCCAGGTAACCACTAATCTGCCTGCTCTCTCTCTCTGGATTTGCCTGTCTGGACATTATCTGTAAATGGAATGATACACTGCATGGCTTTTTGTGTGTCCAACTAGTTTCACTTAACATGACGTTTTCAAAATTATTCATGTACTTGAATCAGTCCATTCTCTGCTGAATAATATTCTTCATGTGGATACACCATTCTACTCCTCTGTTCATCAGTTCATGGATATTTGTATTGTGTCCACTCTTCCCGTTTTGACTAATGCTGCTATGAAAATTCACATAGAAGATACTTTGTGAACATAGGTTTTTCACCTGTCAAGTACCTAAGGGGTGGAATTTGCTTTTGGGGATGGTATCCACTGTTCTCTGTAGTGTTTGCACCACTTGGTGGCCCCCTGGCAGTGTCCCCATCTCCACAGCCTCACCAGTGCTGCTTCCCCTGTGTCAGTGCCCAGCCTAGCGGGTGTGCAGGGCTGTCTCAGTGTTGTTTTTATTTGCATTCTGTTTGGGGAGCACTGCCCTCTCCATACAAAGTCTTCCGTCAGTGAACATAGGGTCTTTCCATTTATTTAGGACTTCTTTATTTTAAGCAATTTTTTGAAATTTTTAAGTCTTGTATCTTCTTGGTACATGTCTTACATTTTCCTTGGTTGGTTAAATTTCTTCCTGTGTATTTTATTCTTCAGGATGCTATTGTAAGTGATTGTTTTTCTGATCTTAGGAGGAAAACTTCTAGCTTTTCATCATTATGTTAGCCTATGGATTTTCCTAGATTTCCTTTTATCAAGCTTAAAAAGTTCCCTTCTATTGCTAGTTTGTTGAGTTTGTTTGTTTGTTTGTTTTTTGGTATCATTAATCTACAATTACATGAGGAACATTATGTTTACTAGACT